CACACTCACCCTATTCCTGCGTTTTTTTTTCTATTCCCGTATTTTTTATTCCTGCGTTCCAAATAGACCCTGAGACATAATCAGGGCATCTCTAAGAACAAGTATAATAATAGACCGTAAGCTGGCTAAATGCTAATATGGAGAAGAAAGAAGAAGAGGCAGGCTATAAGCTTACAGCCGGTTTGACACAAGAACAAAAAAAAAACTGTGAGAGAGACAGATGGACCATGTATTAATAATGAAGAGCTAATTGCTACAGGAGCAGGCTGAAAGAAGGTTGCAAAAAACCTTACGACAGCAGGTGGGCTGTATTATTAGCCTTGCATCTAACGATATGAGTTAGCACTCCTAAAGTAAATATGGGGAGAGAGACTGCTCTGAACACTGTGGCCCCGTTCGCTTCGCTGAAAAAACAAGCCGAAACACTGTTATGGCTGATTTGTTGTGAGAGAAAAACATAGTTCCAGTCAAAAAAACAAGTTGAAAAGTATAGATTATAAGACAATCGAACAGGCCCTGTGCCGTGAGAGCGAGGAATGTATCGTGAGGTGTGCGAGACTATTTCTTAAGTTCACAGTAGTCTCTTTCCTTTTACACTATTTAGAGCCTCTTTGGCAAAGCTCCTGCAGGGGCTTCAGCTCTGGCTCATGCAGGGGGCTAAACGTCTGTTTTGGAAAGGGCTCCGCATGGGAAGCTGGTCAAGAGCCGGAGCCATTTTTTGCCTGCGCAGGAGAAGCCTCAAAAACGAGTTTCGCGCAGCTCCTTGCTATGGGTTCACGTCGTCTAATGCGAAAGAGTCGTTTTGCCAAACGTTTTCCAGAATGGCTTCAGCTCCTCCAGAGAAGCTGCTCCTTCAGAGAAGCCAGAGCCAGAGCCATTTTCAGAGGAGCCAGAGCCCTGCCAAACAGACCCTTAATAAATCTTATGATTTAGAAAATTCATAAGCTAGCTCTAAGCTACCAGATCATTAGAGGCACCTTAAAAATAATGATAAAAAATAATCTTTTAATGAAGCTAATAGCTTGCTCTTGATTTTGACCGCATCATCGGGCTTTAAACGTCAAAAAGTTTGTCAAATTCTAGCGTAAGCCCGTGTTTAGTTGGCGAATTTAGGTTATCGTAACACTTTCGTTTTTATTTGGTAATTAGTGTTCAATCATGGATCAATTAGACTCAAAACGTTCGTCTCGCGATTTCCAACTAAACTGTGCAATTAGTTTTTTTCGTCTACATTTAATACTCCATACATGTATCGTAAGATTCGATGTGATGGCTTTTGTAGCACTTTTTAAGAATTTAGGTTTAGAACTAAACGTGGCCTAAGAAAAAAAGTTAGTCAAATTAAGTTAAAAATTCAAAATTTAGACAACTGTGGACTTGGACAGATAAATAAATATATGAATCCCAAGCAGAGAGATAAGATGGCGCCAGCGCACGCTCTCCTCGCCGGTCCCGACTATCGAGATCCGCGCAAGAGCTGGGTGGGCGCAGGGAACCATGCAGGTCGCTACCGGCCATCCGCTCAAATCGCTTTCGGTGGGGTGGGGGCGGTCACCACCTGTCCCCCATCTTTTCTTTTCCATATGAAAAGATCCTGCCTCCAAAAGCTATCAACCCGCGAACCGGAGGCCCTCCCTCAGCATATTTTGTAAAAATCACCTCAGATTATTTTGAAATCAATTCACGATCTAGACCGGATGGGCTCCGGGGTTTTTGCAAACAAGACCTATTTATCGAAAATCAACCTGCGCTCCAGAGACCCTCTCAACAATTTTTGCAAAAACCTTCTCAGATTTTTCTCAAATCAACATGCAAGCCACCTTCGATTATATCTCTTTTTAAAAAACAATTATCTAAAACTTTAAAATTACATAGTAAATCACAGAAAAATTGTAAATTAGAAAATCAAGTTGATCTGAAATCCTCACGAGTAGAACCGTAGAACTATGCAGTGCATCCATAATATAGCATGTTTTAGTAAGAATTTTTTAATATAAACTTTTACCTATGCTTTTTAGGGATAAATAAAATTATACCTTCATAATGATAAAGTCTCGAAAATACATAAAAATCATAAAATGAATTTTTTTTTGCTAATTTTCTCGTAACTACACCTATATTCTTATTGCCACCGGTCTAACTTGAAAGGGCGTTTCTAGTTGAGTATTGTTCTTGAATGAATATATGATGATGACCTTGACTAGACGAGCTTAGCTTTCTGATAACCTTTTTTTTCTTGGTTTTTTCGTCAAGTCCAAGAAAAGGTGTGCACGGCTGTTTTGGCCGGGTTTTGTGGTGATCCAAACTGACACGCCGCAATTAAGGGCGTAGATTAGTTCCCATTAGCGTTGCCGCTTTGGAATCCTCCCAACTCAAATGCCAAGATTGCGGTGGGGATTGATTTTCCCAACTCAAATGTCCGCTACCTATTTATTTTCAATGCTAGTGTAGGAGCCAAAATGTTTTATATGCAACGATATATGGAAAACTAGTTTTACGGCCAACAGCTTGATGCAATTTTCTTTGATCAGAATGAAAACCTTTTTTTATTATTGATGTTACGTTTTATTTATGGTAGGTAACCGGATTTCTTGGGTATGGTTTCTTTTTTTATCCGGTTTTGGAGGTCATCAGTTTTATTAGTTGCCATGTAGGTATATAGTAGCCTCCTACTATATATATATATACTATTTCAGAGTTAATTTTCTCTTCGGTTTACATTGTTTAAGAAAAGGGATTTATTTAATAGAATAGATATAAATATTAAGGGGTGGGACCTCTTCTTCTCTAATAATCAGCCTATTCGCTTGGTCGTAAACGATCGTAAATTTTCAGCTAGAACAAAATTTTTCTCTCATACCAAACCAGCCAGCAGTAATAATCCACGATCGTTTTAGTCCCAGCCGAACGGGCTGAATGAATGATGCCTTTGTTGTCGGCCTGGGCATTTTTTAACCGCAAACCGAACCGCACTGAAGTGTCGGTTTTTTCGGTTTTCGGTTTGCGGTTCGGTTTCTAGTTTTGCACTGTTCGGTGTTCGGCTTCGACTTCGGTTTTATACTCAAACCGAACCGATTAACCGAACAAACCGATGTACACACGCGTCTGTGAGACATGAGCATGGTTCACGGACCCGAAAAAATCATTCAATCGTGCTAAGTCCGCCCCCTCCTCAGTTCGCGTCCGCCTCTTCTCGCGTCTGCACTTCGCATCCGCCCCCTCCTCGCGTCCGCACTTGGCGTCGCATCCGCGTCGGCAACTCCACCTTCTCCTCCACCAACTCCGCCTCCTCGATCCTCTTCCTCCAACACCATGGCGCCCTACTCCGTCAACGCGGCTCGTGCCCTCTCCTCCGTCGCCTGCGTCCCCCGCGTCTCCTCTCCTCTCCAGCTCTCCCTCCGACTCCTTCACATCCGCCGTCCACCCGCCTCCTCCCCTTCCTTTGCGGTGGTGTAGGCAGTCCGCCACCCTCCTATCTTCCTCTGACAGCACCGTACCGCCCCTCCCTCCTCCTCACGCCACCGCCCCTCCTCTACCGGCGAGGCCACCCCCATCTCCTCTCCTTTCCTCTCTAGATCTAGATCTAGAAGGGAAATATGACGACTGCCATTCTTGGGTTCGAGGTGGTTCGAGGAAGGTCATGCCGTCGTGCGGCGGCGGGATCCCAACGCGGGTGACGGCGGCGGGATCCTAGCGCGGGTGACAGTGGCGGGATCCTAGCGCGGGCGACGGCGGCGGCGGGATCCCAGCGTGAGCAACGGCGGCGGCAGGTTCTGGGCGCACGGACGACAGCGGCGATGGGATCCTAGCGCTGGCAGGATGTCTCGGTTAATTCGATTAAAACTGAAAACCGAATTAAAAAAACCGAAACTGAATTCTGCAGTTTTCAGTTTTCTGCAGAACCGAACAGGTGATGGAGGCTAGAAACCAAAGTTTTTTATAACCGAATAAACCGAACCGAATTAACGGTTAAAACCGAACGGCCAGGCTGACTTTGTTGGGAGCTGGCTGGAACGCCGCTACAATTTAATTTTCTCTACCTACTGCTAGGAGTACGCCGAAGGCACGCCTCTCTCGCAGCTCTTCAATCAATCTATAAATAAACACACTACAGTTGGTGGAGGTGGAGGACTTGGCCGCCTCCATATGTCTCTTCTCATTCTCATTCCCATCCATCCATCCACGCGTTGTTCGCCGGCTCCTTTGGCGCTCCCATCTTCTCTGTCCTCAGCCATGGCCTAGGTCTCGCTCTCTCCCGCAGCCATGGCCTCTGTCTCTCTCTCGCTGTGGAGAGAGGCATCCGATACCTTTAGTTCTAAGTACTCAGCCATGGAGACAGACAGAGAGAGAGGCCTCCCTTCTCCTATTTATACACAGCCATGGATCGATGATGCACCGAAGGCGGTATGGTATTTCCTTCTTTTATGTTTCTCTTTATTTTACATAGATCTCATGTTAACAGTCTCTTTTATGTGTTTTTGTTCATCCAACCCAAAGAGAGAAGGGTGGGATGCTTAATGTAATCCATTCATATCCTAGCGAGATGCACGTGCACAGGTGAGGTAATATCCGACGCCCATTTTGTTACCCCCCACAACCCACATATTATCTGTGGATCTGATGGGCTTGTTTGGTTTGGGAGGGAGGGATTCGTATGTCTGCCCCAACCATTCTACGTCTAATTTTTCATTGTGATTTTTAAGGTGATGCTCTGTTTTTTTCCCGTTTCTTTTCACATTCATATTTCATTCACATAGTAATTTCTTGTACATTTTATTTACACAACAGAAGACATCGTGCAAACAGCATTGAGAATGCACCGCTCCTGCTCCTGGGCTTGCTTTCTTGTGCGGCCGGGTCGGACCAGCCCGATCGGCCACCAAAGCGGTAGCGTGTCATGTGCATCTCGGGCACTAGGTTTTACCTCCGCCTCCATCCCAATCGGCCGGACAAGCCTGCAGCGTCTTGTCCCTATGCGTCTCGGGAACCCTCTCGCCCCTATGGTACTCTCTCCCGCTCTCTCCCTGTGGTACTCTCCCTCCCCCGCTCTCGCCGTCGCGCCACTGTGGTACTCCCTCCCACTAGAACCCTTGCCATTTGCACTCACAGTTTTTCTGGAATTCCGATTTAGATCTCTTCCGATGTCACGAGGCACTCGAATTGGAGATGTCTACTGTGTGGGAAGTGGACCTGAGGAGGAGGATGATCATGATTGTCTTCCCATCAAGGTGAGATGTTCCTAGCTAGTTCATCTATGTAATTTTGTTGCTGCTTCTAAGTAATTGCTGCTTTGTTATAATCACTACGTAACATTCCGACGATTTAAGACGCAGGTTGTCTGATTTTTGTTCCAAGAAATTACTGCTTTGTTATAATCACTACGTTGCTTATGGTTGTTGTTTTAGTTCTCCTTTTCGGAAGGGTTCTCTACTGGCTCAGGCCGTATACTCAGTCTCAACAATAGACTGCTGAAGTTTTATGGGGACATTGGATTTTATCACAATGAAGAATTAGCTGCCATAATTGCCTCGGAAAAAAAACACCATTTTGCAAGGCAAGCAAGGTTGGCAGTTGATTGAAATTAAAGCGAGAGAGTCAATGGTAACAAGCATCTTCAACCTTCGCTTTTCTTTTTCTCGGAATGTCGCAGTTGATTATAACAAAGCAGCAATTACTTGGAAGCAACAACAAAATTACATAGATGAACTAGCTAGGAACATATCACCTTGACGGGGAGACAATCACGATCATCCTCCAACTCCTCGGGTCACTTTCCACACAGTAGACATCTCCTCCAATCCGAGTGTCTCGTGACATCGGAAGAGATTTGAATCGAAATTCCAGAAAAATTGTGAGTGCAAATAGCAAGGGTTCTAGTGGGAGGGAGTACCACAGTGCCGCGACGGTGAGAGCGGGGGAGGGAGACTACCACAGGGAGAGAGCGGGAGAGAGTACCACAGGGGCGCGACGGCGAGAGGGTTTCCGAGACGCAAAGGGACAAGACGCCGCAGGCTTGTCCGGCCATTGGGATGGAGGCGGAGGTAAAACCTAGTGCCCGAGATGAACATGACACGCCACCGCTTTGGTGGCCAATCGGGCTGGTCCAACCCGGCAGCACAAGAAAGCAAGCCCAGGAGCAGGAGCGGTGCATTCTCAATGCTGTTTGCACGCCGTCTTCTGTTGTGTAAATAAAATGTACAAGAAATTACGATGTGAATGAAATATGAATGTGAAAAGAAACGAAAGAAAAACACAGAGCATCACCTTAAAAATCACAATGAAAAATTAGACGTAGAATGGTTGGGGTAGACAGATACGAATCCCTACCTGCTCATGAGCGTGAGCGTGTCAAGAAGAGGTGAAAAACCAAACAAGCCCATCAGATCCACAGATAATATGTGGGGGGAAACAAAAAGGGCGTCGGATATTACCTCACCTGTGCACGTGCATCCCGCTAGGATATGAATGGATTACATTAGACTCATCCTGGCTTTGCACCAGTAAGCATCCCGCCCTTCTCTCTTTGGGTTGGATGAACAAAAACACAGAAAAGAGACTGTTAACATGAGATCTATGTATTAGACATAGATACAAATAAAAGAGAAACATAAAAGAAGGAAATACCATACCGCCTTCGGTGCCTTCGGTGCATCATCGATCCATGGCTGTGTACAAATAGGAGAACACTTCTGTAGAGTCTCCCTATTCTGAGCAGCTCCATATCAACTTTTGAGGACTACAGTAAAAAGAATAATAACCTATTAGAAACTAGATAAGTGCCAATGCGTTGAGATAAAATTTTCATCAACACAAAGAAAACTCATTCATCAAGACGAGCAACACCGTAACATTCTCAAGCACCACATCCTAACATGACATTTTGTTTGACCAATATACACAGATACGAGAAAAGAAACTTTAGGCACATAAATAAAAATATTTGTTTGACCAATATGGTCTTGATCCGCACACCCTAATATTCTCGAGCACCACATCCTAACATGACATTCTAGGCACATAACAATCTACACATAACAAACACAAAAAACAGAGAAACTGAACCTCAATCTCCAGAAAAGCATGGAAGTGCTGATGTGCGCCATGAAACAGATCCACCACATGTGGGCCACTAACACAGGGGATCTGAGTTTCTTTCTGGATTTCTTCAGCAAGCTTTTGATCACAAACACCAAGTGTGTATGACCAATTCCACATTTACCATGGTGGCAAATTCAATTGCAAGAATAGCCTAAGCTCATCGCTGACAATGGCTACCAAAGAAAAGACAGATAATTAGTAACTACACAAGATGGTAACAACACTTGATAGTAACTACACAAGATGGTAACAACCTTTAGAGATATATTTGCAGTGTTCAAGCTGAGCTGAATCTGTAGTGAAGGGATAGTGGTCAACAAGCTTGACATAAGACTTCACACAATCCACATCTAACAAAGGAGGAAGACGCTCCGCATCATCAGCAGCTCCATAGACTCGAATCAGCGAGTAGCCCATAACAGATTCGTAGAGCAGATAGGTATCTCTACGACTCCGGTCTGGTCTCCCACCTTCTCGATAAAGACAAGAAATGTGCCAGACCTCAAGTTTGTGGACCTTATGCGACCAAATAAAGTGATTGATGATCTAGATGGCACTGGACCCAGTAAGTTTTCTTTCAGGGATCCTACACCTGAGTAGTTTATCTGAGGCGACTGACTAACCTGTGTATTTGAAAAATCTCATAATTTGGTAAACTAAGTAACCAATAATAATTGAACTGATGCCCTCTTCTTAAGATCATCAGAATTGAAGTATATGTGCAATGGCTATAAACTGACTACAAAGTGCAGACTTTCTGGATAAACTACTGTGCCATTGGTTTACAAAACTGCACCTTATGTCATTTGTAGTAACTAGATGTTCTGTGCCCATATTTCTTTCTTGAACTTTTTTAACAGCAAGCTTGTGAGAAGGGCACTAGTACCTATGCCTGCATTAATATTGCTGTAAAAATCTGCTCTATATCTTCTGCAAGCACAAAATTTAATATTACCTTGAATTTTTTTTTTACCCATTAACTAATGCCAGTTGCAGGTTGTATACTGCTATCCAGTGAATGGGAGATTTCCAAAGCCAGTTCACTTGTGGTTCACAGGTGGCAGTGGAGAAAGGGCCAGCCATCTTCAAAGAATTTCTCTGTATGCTGATAATTGGATCATTGAAAAAAGTGGCCAGGACCTTATCTTGGAGCATCTGAAAATGGTGAAGAAAACCTTGTGTATCTTACAGCAGATGCAGAGACAGCGCTTGATTATTTAGACATGTCAAACATACACACCAAAAAGTTAGCTGTTCCGTGCAGGTATTGCAGTATCTGAAACCAGATAAAAGTAAAACACCTTTGTTTTCTCAAGAAAGATAATACGATATCGATTTTTACTAATAGTTTCTTTCTGTCCTCCTTAAGTCTGTTGACATAGCTTACTACAATTCACAATAGATCTCGCTTCACTACCCATAGCAACCAGGTAACTTGATTATTTCCATGCACTTAATTTATGATATGGTTTCATAGTCAGAATATCTTTATGTTGTGTACTCAAGGAATTGTCCATGTACACCCTTCCCACTAAATCTACTTTTTTTAACCCACTAAGATTCATGTGTTAATTAATTTTCCCTGTCTATGTCCTCTGCAAAGCAAAGAATATTCATGCAGAAGAACACTGGTGGTTGCGCCTCCAATAGAACTATATATGATATCTAGCTCCACTCCATGGGCATGTCTCTTTTCTTTTTCCTTCGTTGTCAAAATGCTAACACTTGGGCCACTGAAAAAAAAAATAGTAATGCTGATACTGACGATATCTTACAATCATACCTTGTAATTTGGAAATGGTGCAGGTTGTTTCACATGTGGCTCTTCGTTTTCATTTTCCATTTCACATACATGGCTAATTGCAGGTTCTCCAAGACATCGGAACAAAGGCTTTTATATAAACAAATAAAGTTGCACCTCAATAATATATCATTATCTGAACAATCCCTTCTCTTTGTTAAGGAACAAAACATTTATACTCCCTCAAAGAGCATATTACATAGTTCTGAAATTCATTTCAATGTGATCCTCTGTGCTTCATTTAGGTAAGAATAGTGAACTGTCAACTGTCTTCCTGGTATATTTCTATGTTCTGCTATCCATTGCAATACTGGTCCAAATCTAGAGGAGGTGTCCAGAGCAGTCTAACCAAGTAACCATCACTACTGCTACTTCAATCACTGCCAGCCACACTCAGTTGTGCAAACCGCAACAAATAACCAAACCCAATTGGAACACCAGAAGCAATATGCCAGAAATTGTATGAACTGGACAACTAACCTTCAGAGTGAAAGTTCGTCCATCACGGCCATCAGGAAAGAACACTGTCAAAAGTTTCCTGTCTTCTTTGACAACAACACTTAACCATTCCCCAATATTATAAGCTTATCAGACAATATGGAAGAATCATCAACCTTTCGTCAAAGTTTCGGTTTCATTGCATACCTTCCGGAGCTATTCAAGTCGATTCCACCAAGTGTAACAATTGGTTCAGCTCCTCTGGGTGGGGGCACATTCTGAAATTAAAGCACAAAATTGGGAGTGAATACTGTGTTAATTTTTTTAAGAAACCAAAACTCAAAAATGGAAAGAAAAAAACAAGCTTTAGCAATTGTACTTATGGCTTGATACTAAAAAAATAACCTTTTATGCAACTTTTTGTTATCCAACTAATAGGACGAAAAGTAACTATCCCACTTCACCACTAGTTTCACCAGAATGTTTCCCCTGACAAAATGTGTATGCAATGATAATTGTATTCTGATTTCCATCACAGCAGTAATGTCAATTTGATAATCTATAGGGGTATCTGAGCAACAATATGCCCCTATCACAAGTAGCTGTGCGTATAGGTAAATGATCATGGTATAGACGTATTGACAGGGCCCAATAAAAACAGAGCTCAGTCAGTCTAGCAGATACTATATCTCCAGCCACTACCTGGTAATGATTAACAAAGTAAGATGAGACTTACAGCCAAAGTAAAACTTGAAGAAAATATTATCTCATTAATAAAGTGCAGATTTCACATTGTTATAAATCATTTGGGAGTGTATTTGCTCACGATCTCTCTCGCGAGAAGCGGATTAGCATTTAAAGCTTCTTTAGTGTTCATTACAAGAAAAATTATTTTACCTCAAACATATGAATAGGATATTACAGAGAGCAGATTGGCGCATGAATAATGATGTAAATAAACACAAAAAAGTACAGATAATACAGTAGAACTTAAGGAAAAGGAGGAACATTGAAGGAACTAGTGCAGTATATCTTACAGGGTCACTTCTGAAGAACACTAGGGATGACCTTGTAAGAATAAACCAGCGCTTTTTCCATGATGTCCATCCAATTCCTGTTTATAGAAAATGCAATATGTAGTGTTTTATCTCGAAAGTAAAATGTGATCAACTATGGAAGGTCACTAAGTGGGGCAACCAAGCTTTGATGCTTAAACAAATTATGACCATTTGGCACCAAAAAAGGGATAGCATAAATAAACTATTTAAGGTATTAAAGGAGAGGAAGGAGAACACAGAATTTATGCAATATCATACATATTTGCAGGAAAGCATACCTTTAGATGAAAGTAGTAAATGTCCACTCTTAAGGACCTGCACTAGAAGAATACTTATCATTGTCCTTGAAAGTTTTCTTACAAAGATATGGAGAAAATAACCAGGTATATTTCTCTATTTTTACTGTCTATCATGACTTAAATAATAGCATACTTTCCAACAATTAATAAGATAAGTTTCTAATAACTTTCGCTTTGACCTCAACAGCCAGCTGACACAGTTCGACCAAGACCCTGCTCACTTGAGAACTTGGTGGGAAGAGACCATGCCCAAGGTCGCAAAAGAGGAAAGAAGAGGCTTCAACGGTTTGGTGATTTACACATGCTGGAATCTTTGGAAGGAGAGAAATCGAAGAATCTTCAACAATGCCCAGGAATCGGCTTTGCAGGTTGCCGCAAGAGTCAAGGAAGACAATGCACAAAGGAAAAGGGCTTTAGAAAGGGAAGGCTAGCAAGCTGAGATTCATGCTGTAGCTGTATCAGTGTTTGTTGATCCTTCTTCCTCCTTTGCCTCCCCCACCTTTTTGGCTGCTGAACTAAAACCTGTACATAAAACTATTCTCTCCTTCCTTAATTGAGAGGCAGAGCTCCTGCCGTTCATTTCAAAAAAAAAAAATCCGCTTTGACCAGATGCTGAGGCACGGCCAAGTTGCAGATAAGCATCAGTAGCAGCCATGCACAGTGATGACAACTTGTAAAAACATCAAATTGTATAAAGTCAGCTGATACATGTTGAGCAGCGTATTAGTTATAGGACACAGTACATCATTAAAAAGGCCATTTCTTTTATTTTCTTTACTGCAGCACAAAGCCTTTAGTTGTAAGATTACACAAACCTGGCAACTAGGACAAGAGATCGGCGGGCTGTCACCAGTTTCAGATGTGGAGTTCGGGTCTCCCTCCCCACATCGACAGGTCTTAAACTGATTTACATTCTCAGTAGGCTGTGAAGAAGAAACCTATCAAGAGAATTAAACAAAGTGAAGTGAACATGTAGAACAGTGCCTCGGTCAAACAATTAAACAGTGATCTTGTGAACTTGACTTTAGTGCAAAAGGAAGGAGGGGGGAGGCTTTTACATAGAGAATATTCAAAGCATAATAAGGCATGGATTTTGTTTCAGCATATCCTCCATAGGCATGCATTATGCAGCATATTCTCCGTGATTTACTCTTTTATGTACCAATGATTCATAACAAGAATGCCTGAAGTAAACTATACGGTGTGGTTACTACTACCCAACTCAGAACAGACATATCTACTCCAGTAAAGCACTTGAATAATGCAACGGTGTATATACACATTGATAACCAAACTCCAGCACAGAACATAAAAATTATTGTTGAAACATATGAACCGCTTACTTGCTGGTATGGAATCCTGAACTCGGAAGCTGACATTGTCAGCCTGGTCTAAACGGCCGACTTACGAAGAACGTCAGGATGATTTCTGTCCTGGCATTGTGCTGCCGTTCTTGCTCCCTATTTAGAGATGCAGGGTACAATGTTAGTGTCCATAAAGTCATGAGCTTTGTGATCCACAACCCCCAAAAGAAGAGTAAGGTGAAATGGCACAAGTAACTGATCCGAATACCAATTTGCTGTGCTTTCAGATAAAAACGTGCCTATGTTGAGGGGGTAAAATCGATGTGCGTTGTCCCAGTTGTGCAACCAAGATTCGATTTTGATTGTGTGAAGGGCATGGACTGTCGATCCATGATCCATATCGCAATCAGCTATAGGCTGACTGGCAATGTACATTCGAAACATATAGATGCTGGGGCGTCGCGGATGTTACCTGAATGAATTGAAGGAATAAATGTCATTGATGCGAATGGCGGAGGGAAGCGGCGAATTCAGATTTCAGAGTAGTTGCGTTGCGGCTCGCGGCAGGGCAGGAGAGGAGAGGACAGGAGGCGATCAGAAATCCCCTAGCGGAGACTAGCCTCCCGATGTTGTTCCCCCGACAGCTGCAAGAGCTGCCCCTCGGGCCTCCGCTCTTCGCTCTTGGCCGGTCTTGTTGTTTGTGGCACCAATCCATGGATGTTTGGTGGAGCTCCCTCTTCTCCAAGATACATGGATCCGATTGGAGTATTATTCTTGGTAGTTGAGTGGACAGTGTAACACGCCGATGTTATGGCACTGTAAATCATATATATTATGCATTATCAAACATCATAATCATACATGTCTAATCATGTAAATAATAAATAAAACTCTGTTTCGAAACATACGAAACATGCTCGTGAACATAAATGTTGCATACACTTGTTTAGAGTTGTTTTGCCATGATTATGCTTGTTAGGTTAGTAAAACATGTTCGGCTATGATTGTAAATCATCTATAATTATTTAGCGTATTTTTTGGAGCAAAGTTTGTATTGCAATTATTGCCAAATTCTGCTTTAAAAATAATTCTCCAAAATTAGGGTTTTGAGTTAAAATCGACTTTTATTTTATAATTCAAAATCTAGCAAGAATTGGACTTTGGTCATAAAAGCAAAGTTGTAGAGGATTAAATTCTAAGCAACTTTCATTTTTGGGACATTTTCAAAAGATGTCATTTTCTTGCTCAAAATGATATTTGAAAACTGGTATTTGAAAATTTATTAAAAACATAATTTGAAAAAAAAAGCTTTTCTCCTTTCGCGGGCCGCCGCCTCGCTTCTCGGCCCACGGCCGAAGCTGGCCCGGCCTGCAGCAGCGCCCGCCTCCTGCGCCAGCCCACCTCTCCTCGGCCCAGCCCAGCCCCGCGCGCGTCTGGCCTGCCGACCGCGCTGCACCGCGCCGTTCGCCCGCGCCGCGTCCCGACCGTGTCAGAACGCGACCGCCGCGTGGTGGCCATGCGCCGGCGACGGTCGCCGTGCGGCAGCCACGGCCTGCGTCCGCTCCCACGCGCCCGCATTCATCTGCCGAAGTCGCTGCGCTACTCTCCACTCAACTCCCGCCCGCTCTCTCGTCTCGCGTGCTCGCCCCTCCTCTCGCCGTGGCAGAGCACAGCGCCACCGCAGCCCCGTCGGCCGAATCCGCCGTTGGTGCTCCACCACGGCCAGCAATCAAGCGCCAGCAGCTCCGCCTCGCTCTCCGGCACCTAGTGCTCGCGGTTGTGACGTCTTTTGAGCCAAGGTAGCGCATTTTCCAAGCTTCGCCGCCGTCAGCCATGGCGCCGCCGTGCTCGGTCGTCGTGGAACTCACCCTTCTTCCCCTCCTTCACCCTTCCTATTGGCCTGCTCGCATTCGCCAACTCCTTGCGAACCCCATGCGCTTGCCCTGACCCGGCCGGCAATGGCCGCCGGCCCGCTGGCCGAGCCGCGCCGCCGCGGTGTCTCGACGCCGGCGTTAACCCCCCTTCGCCTCGGCCGAGCTGGGCCCAGTGGCCGTGGTCCGAAGCCCTGAGCCAGGCCGCCGCACTCCCCTCCGCTCGGTCTGAGCAGGCCGAGTGTGGCCGTGGGCCAGCTGGTTTCCACGGGCCGGCCCAGTAGCAATATGATGTTTTCATTTTTAGTTTTCTTTATTATTTGAAAAGAGAAATGATTTGGAAAATATTTGTATACTCAAATTTGCTCCAAATCTGCTGAAATAAATTTTGCTAGGTTCCTTGTCACCAGATCTACATGAGAAAAATATTGCATGTCACTTTTAGATACTTTTATGTAGAACTTTATTTAATCCTTGATATTGCTGATAATTTAAAAAATGTGTAGAAAAACCTATAGGCTTCAGAAAAATATGATTCCAAGTTTGTTAATCTTCTTATGTAATGTACTTCCTAGAAAAAATATGTGTCATGCATGTGCTGTAGAAAAATTATGAGGTGTAGTTCAAGTGCCTTTAATGGTTGATTTTTGTTATTTTTGCTAGAGAGCAAAGATTGTATAAAACATGCATGTGATAATTTTTGTACAGGGATTGTATGCTATGAAGATCATAGGAAAAATACTAAATCTGTTGTTTGACACTTTTCACAGTACAAAGTATTTTCATGTTCATAATCATGCCATAGCTTGTTATTTTTGTGTAGGCTAATCCACTCATTCAAATACCATGAAAATCTGATGTTAGACTACTTAGGGTAGTACTGTGCTATGGTAATTTTCTAAGATTTTTCTAATCAATAAAAATAGATGTTACTATTCAAATCTATTATTAATTAGGGTTTAATCAAGTGTTGTTTTATGTGTGATTAAGGAATTAGTAAAGCTTTGGTGTATCTTTGAAGCATTTAATAAGATGTGTTGACTTAGCATATTAGTAGTAGAAGAGAATACAGTAGATGACATGTGCTTGTAGTATATGTTCTTGGATGATGTTAACTACCTTGTATTCAAGCATATCCATTGTATTCATCTCATCCGATGCACCGATTGCATAAGCACTTATGCACATTGCATCATACAGAATCGTAAACCGAGAACCTAGTCATCATACCCGAGGAACCCGAGGAGTAGCTCGAAGTGCAGCCACAGGAAGTGCCCGAAGCCGACGAGAAGGACGTTGAGGAACTTCCGGAGTGCCCCGATCACCGCCCGAGCTCCTTCGAGAGAGGTAAGCCCCGGAACATTTTTCTCCCCGGTTTGCAATTATTAATTAAATGCTTTACTTCAATTGATGCATTACGTTTAGGAGTTGTTTGCAACCGTTGCTGCATTATACCTTGTCTACCTTTGTTATACTATATCCTTGTTACCCTGGTATCCGCAGTCGAGTCAATGCTTAGCTGGCTTAGACCAGTAGAAATCGGGTGATTTCCTGTCACCTGCGAGCTATAGGTGGTTACCTGGATCTGCTTGGATGACTATGAAGTCATGGTATAACTAAGTGTTAAATGAAGTTGAGACCGGGCGGAGACTTACAGAGTTTTGGACTGTAGTGCTTTCCGTCTATGTCGATTAAGGACCGACCGTTGTTGGGCCTTGAGTCATGTTGAACGCATGCCTTACATTTAGCTAGCCGAATAAAGTACCTTCCGACCGCGAAGCTGGGAGATTATTCGGGCCGAGTAGATTGCCCGCAGCGCACTGTGTCGGAGCAGGTGTGGTAGGACACGGGGGCGAGATGATAAGACCAAAGTGCAGTCGGTCGGCCCCCGGGTACATGTGATTCCTAGCAAACTCGAGACTCCTGGATAGTTGACTCGGTGATCAATACCTCACTTTAGCGGGTGAGTGAGGTTTGTGTAAGGAATAAATCACCAGCTGGTTAGGAATCGATTCGAATCGCCATCGCTCCTGGATAGTGAGCACTTGACTTGAGTTACTTCATCGTAGTAATGTTAATGGAACACTTGGACAGTTATAGTGCATATGATAATATGGAAGTGGTTAGTGATAATTGGTTATCATTATTGGCTTAATCACATGTTTGCTCTAGTATAGGTGCAAATCTAGTCGGCAGGTTATAATTAATTAACTTGGCAATAATGTCTTTAGAAAGGTTTTTGAAATGCTAAAAATGCTTTCTTTGTAAATGAGTCAGCTACCCTACTATAAAGCCCTTCATAATCCTTGGTGTCATTTATTTTCGGTTATGTCGGGTAAGTCTAGCTGAGTACCTTCTCGTACTCAGGGTTTTATTCCCACTTGTTGCAGATGGGCAGATGTATTACGGCTACTGTATCAACTGCCTTTATCCTGTGATGGGTGATGCTTAGGACCATGGGCATGGTCATTCCTTACGTCTCGTCTGATGCTTTTGTTGGAGATGATCATTAGCTAGCACTGTATTTGAACTCCGTGTGAGTGTGTGTGGTTTTAAACAAATGGCTTCCGCTACTTTTATTCGAACTCGTTTTGTAATAACTATGTTTAAACTCTGATGTATCTGTGATGCGAACTTTTATGTAATATGTGATGGTGACTGCTAAACTTATTACGATCGTGGCTGGGATGTGAGTTGGTTTGAAATCCTTCATGATTTCACGGACTACCGGGTTATACGGGCTTCAGTTTGCTAAATCGTCTGCTCTGGCGGATGATTTTCTTACTTAATTTCGTATAATTGGTCGGTTCTGTTACAGCTGGCATCAGAGCATGGTTTAGCGTGTTACTGTTCACAAGTGTATTTAAAACAAAAAGGCATTTGAAAAACGTGATTTCTAAACTAAAAAGTGTGCTAGTGGTCATATCCCTTATGTCCAGTTAAGGACTCTAGGTGGCTTAATTAAGTACTGACTTAGGATTCTTGCATCATATTTCTTTTTCGTTACTCATACGGCGTGCTATTATATGAGTGTCACTTGTTTGAGTGGTAATGTATGGATCAATTGCCTCTACGCCTCGGTAAGTGTGAGTTGTGAGAGCATGATCGGATACACCGCTGATCTAGGGTGAATGCTTATATGATGTCGGAGTAATTACATGTTCTACGCATGTTTTACAAAGACATCTCATGTGTGGGTATTCC